CAACTAGTAACCACTAGTCATTCTTATTCACTTGTTGTATTCAACACACCAACACAGTCCCAACTAGTAACCACTAGTCATTATGACTTTATGCTTTCAAGGGCTAGTGGTAAATAAAGACATCATTCTAGAGTGAATGAAGCGTGGTATGGTATGGTCTAGGTGGGCACACCAAACATTAACAAAGAATTTGTCAGTACTACTTACATTTTTTATATCCTTGAAAACCTATTCGTTTGAGCCTGAAACATCCACAATGGAAATGGCAAGAATCAAAAGAACTGAAAGTACATAGCCTTGCAAGCACGATACGCTCCATTAACCAACATGGATACACTTTCGTATGCTTTGGCAGATCTTGCGACGCATCAATTGATTGACCTCTTTTTTCATAATAGTGGATGTAGCTGACGGGTTGGTGGGGAATGGCAAGCGTGCACATTTTGGCGCGACAATTTCCCGCCTAGTAACGCACAGGAACTACATCATTGAGAAAATCATTTGTTCCAACAAAGGCCGTTATCTGTTGTAGACAGGACATGGAAAAAAATGAATTTCTCATGGATTTCCGACTGCTGTTTTCGCTTCCCCTTTACACGCCCTTCACTTCTCTACGTCAATGAAGCTACTCACATGTCTTGGATTTCTTGTTTCTTCAGATAAAGTTTGTCATAATTCCTCGCAAACCTTATTATCTATTGAAAAGTTTACGTAAAGAAACACTATTCAGTATACAGTCAATTCAAAAAACGTTGTCGTCGACCAACTCAAGCCTACGCGACTGGACCGAAAGGAACTCTGGGTAGTAATCATTGAAGCCGAGTTGWCTCCATAATTTTATCTGACTAGTTATGCCTGGTTTACAGCACGAACCTTCGTAGGCGWGCGGGAAGTGTTGAAGGAGACGTTTTTTTAATGCCTTCATATTTTCGAAATTGTGAACTGAATCATAACTACTTTATTTTTCTTTCCCTAAACCCGAAGACATGCATTTGATGGATTGAATTGTTTCTCGCCATTATTATCTTTACTACTAGCGGGAACAATTAATTCAGAACGAATATTTAACCGCTTCAGTGAATTTTACCCATATTTCTTTCGGTCTAGTCGCGTAGGCTTGAGCCGGTCGACGACAACGTTTTTTGAATTGACTGTAGACAATATTAACTGAATTGCGAGACCTTCCTTCTTCAAAACCATAGAATACCAAAAAAAAAAAAAAAGGATTTGTCCGATTTGGAATATAAAATCAATATACTTACGCTCGACGATGGACCAAATACTAAAAGAATTCTTAAGTCACAGGCCACAAGAATAAAGTATTTGGCAGTCCCCCTCCCCTCCCCCTCCCATCGTCTCTTCAACCACTTCATGCACAGGCGTACGTGGTATTGTAGACTTGATATTCGGTTACCTCTTGTTCATCTATAACAGAATCGTTGTTTTCGTCCCACCAATCGAATTTTTCAGCGCGCAGTTCATCAGGACCTTCAGCTGGTCGGGTTTCGTCTGGAAATGAGCGAGAATGGCAGGCTTACAAAATGCTCACATAATGTTGCTCGTATAGTAGTGATTGGTAGGTCTCTCTCTACATTGATTTGAGTCTTTTTCGGTTCAGGGTACGATTTGTAAATTAGCCTTACCCTGACTTACAGCGGTCCGGAGGTCGTTTCACGTTTTAATCTATGATTTAGTCGAGCCCTGGCTTAGAGCAGCCAGAGGTTATTTCAGGGTTCGATCTGTAAGTTAGCCATGCTCTGACTTTAATCAGTCCAGAGGTTGTTTCAGGGTGTATCTTGTATTAGCTTACAGGGACCAATCGTCTACGTACCTACAGCATTGATCTGTTGGTCCAGCTCACCATCATATCTGTCCTTAATAAAACCTGCTACACTCTGCTCCAGACCAGTTAGGTTGGCTAGCTTTATGATGTAATCGCATTCATCATTGCTAAGAAAATTCGGGATTTCTGTGGAAGAAAATTATTTGTTGTCATTTGACGTCATGGCGGCCATGTTGGAGTACAGGTAATTAACGATATTTAGCTTTTTTTGTGATGCACACCAACATGGCAGCCACATCGTAGTAATTCCCTGTGTAGGAAGGAATGAGTGAAAAAAAAGGAAGAAAGAAAGGAAGAAAGAAAGAAAGAAAGAAAGAAAGAAAGA